ATACTCCTTATAGCGTAATGTTTTGACATATTCGTTCATTATTATTATCAAATTTATTATAATGATTTTTGTAAAGATGATAATAAGAATATCAACAATCAAAAAATAGTAAAAAAAATATTTCAATCAAATTTTAAACATGATGATAAAAAAGAATAAAATTTTCTTGAAAATAAGAAAATTAACGTGATGAATACTTATAACTTTGAACAAATATTAAAACAGCTTTTGTGTTATCTCTTATTTCTACTCAGCAGGGTTTAGGCATGTTACTCTGTAAATGATTTCTGTTAATTTAGAGAGAAATTTAAGATAGTCTATTTACGTTATCGTTATTCAGAACATGTGACAGTTATAAGAGCTAATCGTTTCATTATAAAATATATATTAATCATTCATTTTGCTGATAGTCATTAAAATAATAAATGATCTAATCTAGCATGTTGGGCATAGACCTGACCAAAATGAGCGAGCTTGAAATATATAAAGGCCTACCCTTCATATAAACGATTTTTTTCTCAAGTATACCAAAAAACCTTGTACCCAGATGAAACAATATAAGTGAGTGGAACTTACCCATACCGTTTTAGTAAATAATTTGATTTAGTAGAGAGAAAAGAAAGATGCGAAAAGATAAGATATAAAATAAGAGATGAAAAGAAAAGAAATAGAAATGCTGTTTAAAAATTTCAAATCAACTGTCTTTTATTAAATTAAATTTAATTAAATTAAAACTTTAGGGGATACTTTACCATTTTATAATTATCCAATTGAATTTCATGATGCTTAAATTTTATTTGGTACTAAAAAATTTAGAGGGTTATTCAGTAAGTAGTTATTATTTATTATATAATATAAATAAGGTAGTTTATTTATATTTTTAATCGATATTTGTATATTAACAATGAAATAACATAATTTATTTGATAAAAACTAATTTTTCAATTAAAAAATAATTTAATCTTTTTTTAAATCTATTAATCAAATTAGCAAAAGTTCAATAGGAGATGAGAATAGTAAGTGTTATTTTTTTTTGATTATCGTATAATTAATCTCGTAGACTGGACTTAGAAATGCGCAGGAGATGTTCTCTGTAAGTAAATCGCAGTGTCATCAAAATAGTTTTTATCAGAGCATAATTGTGGCTAGGAATGCTTGGATAGATTCTAATATCGATTTTATATATTGTGTCATGTCATTTTCCAATTAAATAAATATTAAAAGAATGTTAAATTTATTTTAGAATTATTACAAATTATCGAATAGAGGATTTAATTATATTCTGCAATAGTGTTAGTAAAGTAAATTCCTTATGTATATAATACATAATATATTTGCTCTTAAGACATTACAACAATTTTTGAACATAAAATTGAAATCAAATATACATGGTAGGGATACTACAACTTTAATTAGTTAACCTTAGATCATTGAATCTAAATAATATATGTACTTAAATAAATTTAAATTAAATTTATATTAAGTAGAAACTACTAATAATCGTATATATTCATAATCAAGATTGATTCCCTTCTTAATAGTAACACTGCGCTCAAATTATTTCATAATAAATATGAATTACAAAATTTTAGAATAACTCTTAAATAGCTCATATTCAATATGAAGAGTGTGAAGAGATTAGGACATCATCATTACTGGGAGGGTAAAGATAGCTTTAAGTCAGATTTACAATTATTCATACTGATAATGTTTTTTTAATGAAATTTAACGCATATGATATGTATCATGAATCTTGTTGCTTTCATTTTCAACAACTACTTCAATTGGAGGATGAATAATTCTCTTTCTTTCTTTCCCTTGTCTTTATTTTCGGGTTGATTTGTAACCATTATTAACTTATATATATTTTTACTCGTCGTTTTAGGTTAATTGGAACATAATTATTAAATACTAGCTCTCCCGTTGGTTCGATATTAGTTATTCTGGGGTTTATAAGAAGCGCAGGTCCATGATATCTTCTAATATTTTTCATTCGATTGATTAAATGAATGAGCAGACAGACGATCTATATTTTTGCTTAATGTCATGTTATGTATTTGAATTTTTAAGTTATTTTTGATTAGTAACGATTTATATTTTTACATTTATAAATTAGATTTTTCGTGAAATCATTTTATATTTTTATTTTCAAGTTTATTTTTAATTTATAAATTAATTTTTTGTGCAATAATAATTTTGATTTTTGACGAAGTCATTATGATTTTTGGGTATTTTTTTTACTTTGTTGTTATCCGAATTATTATTATTGCCTTGATAGCTCTCCTATAGAAGGGAAAGAAATTGTAATGATAAATCATTATTGTATTTTTTTGGGAGTTTCCTTTTTAAATTTATTTGAATAAATTGGTATAATTCGTGTGGATATTTAATAAGTATAAAAATTCGTGTGAAATAGCGGCCGCAATCATTATTATATTAGTATAAGTTAAGCAGTTCTCTATCTTTTCAAAGATATTAACATGAGCATATTATGTAAAAAATAACTATATATTTATTTTTTAAATCGTAATTATTATATAATCATTATAACTTTTTTTACAAATTGTATGTAAAAATCTTTTTTATAATTTATGCAAGGAGATATATGAGGTATCCATTTTATAAGCTCGGTTTTTCAGAAGGATCTTGATTCTAGACTGGAAGTAAAACGATGAGATGTTTGTTGCTGGATAGAGGTGGTGTAACTTAAAATTTGTTTTAGGAATCTTACCAATAATGAATGTTTTATTTATAGATAGAGAATATAAAACTAATATAGTTAGCTCGGATTATTTTATTTGCTACGCTATGTTATAAAATTCATAATTAATAAACTCATTATAATGTAACCTAACTCTTTCATAGAGGAGGGGGGGGGGGGTTAATTTTTGATAAATAAAAAAAATGTTTGGAAATTTTCCTTTTTATAACAACAAAATTTTACCTTACAGTATTGAAAAATAATAATAAATTATATAAAAATGTATTTATATAACTTAGGCAATTAAAGTAAGTCATTGCAATTACAAATTTTTATTATACCAATATTATTAAGTGTATAATTTTTATAGCTCTCACAAATTGGTGCCAAAATTGAGAAAGGTATATTTATTACCTAATAAAATTTTCTTTATAATATATTTTTGAATCCGTTCTTTGCAAAACAATGTAGAAATTAATTTCAAAAGCAAAATAAAATGATTTATATTTTTTAAACGGTACTTCTAACCAGCGCTAAAAAGTAAAAAAATGGTTGAGAAAAATCCTAGACTCTGTTTTTTTAAAAAATTTTCTGATCCCAATTTTAATAAATATTTATGGCTATCAAATAGAGAACAGGATTACTAAAATAAAAATTATCAAATAGTAAAATATATGATCAGAGATTTTTCTTATTACACATAGATTATAGAAACAAAAAATTGGAAAATTAATTAAAGTTATTTTATCATTTAGGTAAAAATTTTGTTTAAATAAACAAATAATTTTTTAAACAATACGTTTAGTAATAGTATTCTAGGATATTTCTGCAATATATTTTACCTGACCTCGCATAATTCTTTCTAAACCCAATAATTGGTTGGTGGAAGTTTCCGGGATATTGATTAAATATTTTATGGCTATGATTAGAAGAGAAAGAGATTATACAAATTGTGAAGGGAGGGGAGGGCTGAGCTGTAGTGTGCAAAAATTGTATTAATGAATTACAAGACTTGATATCTCTTGAAACATCAAAGTTTATGTGCAACTAAAAAAATAAGTGGGTTGAATCTCTTTTACGTTTGATTTTAAGTTAAAATCTTTAAGGTCACTAAAATGAATACGTTTTTGTTCAACTACTATGACTCCTATTGTTAGTCCCATTCCCAACATCATTCTGGATTTTTTTAAATCATATAATACTAAACCAGGACAATCTCTAAATATATGATTAACATGTTAATCTATTCCAAAATAATTTTAGTCGAACTGGGGAAGCAAATTGTGCTCTGATGGCGAAAAAATTACTTTGCAGGGCTCTAATTATAGCCTTATATTAAAAAAATATAATAAATAAAAGGATAATAATTATTTTTTTAAAGTGCCTCTACTATTTTTAAGATTATTCACCCTCTAAATCGATGTTAGGTGTATTATTAAACTCAGAAACATTTGTTTAGAAAAATAATCATTTACATTTTCTAGTTCATTAGATGTTATGTTTCCAATACTCATTTTTATCATAATAGGAAAATAATTTTCTAAAATCTTTATTTCATACCATCTTGGATAGATTTTAATAAAGGTGGACAATATTGCAAATTTTAATTTCTAAAAGTCCCTCATAACCACAAATAGTATGGACGCAAAGTATCCATAAAAAGAAGTCCTCTGCTCTTCTAATTTGTCTAATGCAACTACTACCGGACTTAAAACTGTATCATCAATATAAGTAATATCTCTATCTTTTGATGTATTACTTTCAAATCTTTTTAATTAACAAATTTAGATATGTCAAATTAGCAATATCATATTATCGTATAAGGCTTTTCCACCTGATTATGCATAAAACTTTCATTGATTACTTGTTACCTCTCTTATTTTATTTGAAGATTTGAGCTATCTGTATGTATTCCATAGCTTTGTACATCTAAGTGGCTATGAAATTGCAAAAAGACTATTTTTAATAGCAACTAAGTATAAAGTGTCATTTTTAGATTTTTTGCTTGTTCAGGCTTGACATTCAGCTGTTAATTTAAATTGATTTTTATTTCAATTCCACGCTCTGTCATCAATGTCGGAAAGATTTTATAACAAATAATACATTAACCTTATTATATAATTTTTGTTAGTAAGTTATTAGTAAACGGAAATATACAAAAACAGTTACTTTTATTATATAGTTTTAAATTAATTTCAATATTTTATTCTAATATAATTTCCATAACATTTATATTTTATATTATTATACAGTGTTTTTGTTTGAATAATATAATATTAATGTATGTAAAATATAATTTCGCACGATTATAAAATATTTACATAAATGTGTTTGTGATATAATTCATTTACTAAAAAAAATTAATGTATAGTTGGATATTATATGTACAATTATATATAAGGAATTTTTTTTATAGATATTATTATTATTCATATAAATTAATATTATACTATATCACATGCCTACTTATAAAGATGTAAATTTTCTTAACATAAAAAAAACTAATTAAATTTCCCTATCATAATCGAATCTTCTAAGTATAAGATGAGGGTTTGAAAATGGGCTTTATAGATGTCTTTAAACTTTTGCCAAATAAATTTAGTGTGTTCGTTTAGCTCTATTTACGATCAATCAAATGGCATAGTTATGTATAACGTTATAATTAGTAATTGATATTTTAAGATAACATTATGATAGTTAGAAAAATTATGATTTAAGTAAATAATTTTTAATAAATATTTACCCCTTAAGGTTATTATAAAAAAAATTGGTTGGTATAAATTTACGAGAAAAAAAATTATCATTATTAATTTACAATGAATTTTTCAAATAAAGTATAGTTTATTGACTATAATATATTTTATCTAAAAAAATGAGGATTAGATGCGATGATAAAATATCTGTTTAATATATTAATGACTTAGATCAATTTAATTATTAAACAATTAATTAATGTGTAATTCAACCGAATATTAATGATTCGTGACTTAGCTTAAGATGATCAATATTATAATTAAACATTGCATTCTGTTTAAATAGTATCAATCAATCATATTAAATGGACCATTTAATCGTTTATCGGCTCAAACGTTTCACAAAAACATGGGAAGGGTAAAAAAAACAAAGTTTTTGTGTTCATATGTATATAATATTTTATATTTATTATAATGGGTCGCTAATGACCAATTTATCAGTTTTTCTTCTCCTAACCCATTTTAAACAAGACCGAATTGTGAAGTAAATTAATAAAGGGATAGGGGTAAATATTGTACAAACGACGGGCACCGTTATTGCAAGATCCGCTTCGGGTTGAGGGTAACTGTTCCATAGTAATAAAATAGCAAGACCGGCATTTTGAAGTCCAGTTTCTATTAAAATAGCTATCTGCTGTTCTTTAGGGATAATAAGTCGCTTATTGTATTTATTTCTCAGAATATAAAAACGTTCAAGTTTAGAAAGTTTGTTGGTTCCGTCATTGTGTGTCAACAATTTTTTGTGGTGGCAGTGGTAGCTGGGCGGTGGAAGTTTATGATGGTTCAAGGATTTTAAGTTGTTTAACGTGTGGGACGTTATCAAGCTTTTGGGTGAGTTTAAATAATTCAGTTTTTCGCGAATTTTTGAATCATGGGTAGTTACATTGTTGTGAGTTTCCTCGCCTTCTTTGACGTTCGTAACAATATCATCACTAACAATATTATTGTTGTTTTTGCTATTAACATCAACTTCATTCACTAGTTTACCGCATAACCAAGGACATTTTGTACTATTATTTAAATAATTCGCTTTGTACATATTCTTTCTCTTGTCGCTCAAAAATCCATAAGTATTTACAATGGCGCAAGCTAAGTAGCCTAACAGGAATCCCGACCAAGGAAGGGCCATGCTAGCAAACACCAGTCTCCAGCTTCCGCCCATTTTAGGATCTATCATGACCCTAAAAATGTATTTATTTGACCACGTCCCCAAAACTAAAATGAGAAATATCATGAAGATAGTCAATGGTTTTGCTGATCTGGATAAACTGGTGGCTATGTTCGGTTTAAAGCGCCTCAACGCAATTCCTATCAAGGGCGGAATGGAAACGGTTAGGAGTGAAAGGAATATTTTGTCGTAAGGGATAACGAAAGGTGTAAAAATTTGATTCGGATTTTCTGAATTTATTTTGGTCATAGTAAAATTATGTTTGTACACGAATGGATTTGTTGTGCGAGATGAAACGTTCACGAAGACTCTGGGTCCTAACAAAGCGAACCAAGCGGGCATTGAACCTGGGAAAAAAGAATTATATATAATGTTTAAAAGGAAAAGGAAGTAGTTATCCTGCTTTAATTCAATATGGCGATACTTATTATTAAAGATTTGCATGGTCCGCGACTGGTTAATAAAATGTGGACCGGGTATTTTCGGGCTGGGTTGGAAAATTATATGCAATTTTTTTTTACATAAAATGGCCGAGCTAAAAAAAATTAGGGTCGGGCTTTTGGACCATGCGAAAAAATATTGAAGGACGATTCGAAAAACTTTGTTAGTCCTTATTATTTTTGATTTATATATTAAATTTTTTTACGGATATAATGACTAATATCAAAACAAAACTGTACGAATCTACCTAATTTAACCACACGTCTAAACAATATTGACCTTTTCAGCCACTGAATATCAGAAGTTGCGGCTCGGTTGGAAAATTGGTTATATTCCCGATTTAGCAAATTGCTTAATAAATATTAGAGACCTGCAGTTATCATTTGCAAGGCTCGTCCCTGATTTTAAAAACAATTTCAACCAGGCTCGGATTCAAAAAATTAAAATATAGTCCGGCTCGTGTATGCGGGCCGGGCTTAGGGTCGGGCCTGCAGGTTTCTGCTTAATAAATTTATATTAAATTATTTTATTATTTACCAAAGGTCCCAAGAGTATTTATAAAAGTTAAACAAATGCTGAGCAACAAATCTCCTCCCATTAAAAAAGTCCACATGTTACTAGAGCCACCACCCGGAGAGCATCCCACTATGAAAAGTCCCATACGGTCCGCTACGTTAAGACGAAACATAAGGGTAAACCAATATGCTAACTTGATTTAAGATACATTTTTTTTTAAAAAAAGAATTATTTTAGACTATGCCCAAAATACTTTTTAAAAAATTTTAAAACTAAGATATTCTAAAATTTTAATGAAATATTGTGTTAAATTTTTGAAATTTTCTAGAATTATATTTCTGGCATGTCTTCATTTTTTTATATAAAAAAAGTTTATTTATTTTTGAAAGTTTGGACACAGTTTAAAAAAAATTTTTCTGAATAAATTTACTTACTTAATCAATGTCTTCGCTAGCAATTAAATTTTATTTTTGCAAATTTTTGTAAATAATATAAACAGACTCGCGCATCAATAAAAAAAGCATTTTTTTAAATTGCCTGTAAAGACGGAGCCTTAAAGATGTTTTTTTCCTTAACCTCCTAGTGTAAGGATTTCACACCCCGAGATTTTAAAAATGTAATTACAAATATTAATGTAAAAGAGATTTTGCCGTGATTTTTCTATTCTTCTATATTGAGTTAAACCGTATTATTGTTTCATGCATTTTTATTAGAAAACCGATTCATGGAAATTTTTGAAAAAGCTATTAGCCCCGCCAGTAAAATAATCTTGTACAAGTTGCCAAACCCCGCCATTATTTTATATGAAAGAAAATGACATAAATAAATTTCAAATTTGTGGCCGGGGTTTAACAAAAATTTTCGACTTCCAATTTAAGTATAAATGTTTGTTTCGACTGATGTCTTTGAAATTTGATGTATAGATATTTAATTTATTAAAAATTGCTTTTAGAATATCAAGCCTTTTTAACATACACTTATAAAATGAGATATAGCCATAATGGGGGTAAACTGTACCCCCATCTAACGATTGGTAGTAATTTTTCCCACCTCATCTCTCAGGTAATTAACTAATAATTAATAATAACAAAATAATGAATTTAAGTTAAAAAATTTTAATACGTATAATGATATTACTTTTAAATCAATTATATTGAAATAAAAAATGTTTAAGCAGTAAAAAATATTTTTATGGCATCAAAACCTTAATATAGCGCCAACTTTTTATATAAATTCGCATTATTTTCTAGTGCAAAAAATACTAGAAAGTAAATAAACATTAGGAAAAAAAAATTCAGAAAAATTAAAATTTCAGTTTTTAGCCATATTTACCGAACATTAACTTAATCATTAGTATCAAATTTAATATCCAAACCGATTTTGTTTTTAATTAATAACAACTTAAATAATAAAGGGTGGAGGTTGATTTATACGCCTTTAACCCTAACTTGTGGTTAATATTTAATAGAATATATAAAGTTCCTAAAAGTTTTTATCGAAATTGAAATAGGCTAAATGATGATTGATCTGGCATGGAACCCATCACTGTTATTCTTAATCGCCATTATAATATAATACTATATGTAATGACTCAGATCATAATAGTATTATGCAGCTGGATTTCGACAATTTTAAAGAAAGATTTTAGCCAAAATAATATTACGCAAGCCTCGATATTTTATTAATAGATATCAAAAATTCTGTCATCTTATGAGCGAAATCTAATATTTTTTGGCTAAATATTGAGTTAGCCATTTTAAAAATCTAGCAGTTTAACAAAAGTTATAACCCCCAATCGTGGTTATTTTTTTAAATGGTTGAGGGGTTTATAACACTTCATCTGATTTCATAACAATACAGTAAATAACCGATTATTAACGTTCACAATTTCTGACTTTGTGAGAAACTTTATTCAAGCGGGTTAATACTGTTTACAAATATAATTTTAATTAATGTATAAAAAGAAAAAAAACCAATTAAAATGATTTAAATGAAAGTAGAATAATTATTTAGAGGTACATATTTCCAAATTCGGCCGATTCCGATACAAACTCCCAATTTTTCTTATGATTCATCTTATTTTATAATTAAATTATTGTTTGATGCTTGTCTTGTTCATTATTAATTATGAAAGTTTCTTTTAAATAATCATTTCTAAAAATTTTAAAATATAATATTTAAATTTAATTAAAACTTATATGCCATACTTATACATTCTAAATTTTAAAAAATAAAATTTTATTGTAAATTCGTACTATAACTTTAAAACTATATATAAATATCTACCAATACATATCAATAGTAAATTTAATAATTAGATTTTTATTAATTTAAAAATTTTTTTCCAAATTAAAATTACGTCCTAATTGAAAGTCATAACATTAAAATGCGCGTAAGCTCAAATTAAGAGGGTAGAGAGACTAATAAACATTAAGTAAAACGGGGAAAATTTTCCCAAGGTTTCCTATTAATTTTATTTTAATTATCAATTTGATCCATAAAATTATTTTCGAAACTTGTAATTTATATTTTTTGCTTGTTTTTCTCTTCGTAAATCATAAAAAAAACTATTAAAATTGTCGATAATCAAATTTTTTTAAAAAGAACTTAAAATGGCAAGCTGGGTTTAATCAGAGTTTGAAATCTGAACGAAAAAGGGTTATAACGTTTTAAAAATTTTTAAGTGGTTTCCGATGCCAACCTCTAGTTCCAATTTGTATAAATTCGAGAGATATATCATTATAAATTTGAGGGGTCTTCACTCGTAAATATATATTCTTTTATACATGTCAGAATAAAATTATATATTTTTTAGGAAATTACAAATTAGCAAGAATTGACACTCTTAAAAGAATAAACCGCTCTTTTATAACTCTGATAGACAGAGCTGATCCGATTCAGATTGAAAAGTATCTTAACCCTTTAGGTTCCCTCATAAAATTAATATGTTGCAACACGATATTTAGTAATTTTTTTATTGATTCTAGTATAATATAATATAAAACACACAAAAAAAGTTTTTTAAATTCAAAATGGCGGCTCTCCCTGGTGGTTTCAAATTCATATCATTGACACCTTATGGAAACTTTCGAAACAGTTTCTATTTTTATTTAGACATAGTGGTACGTTGCATGATTTGCACGACCACCTTGTTCTTCTGGGATTTAACTTTGTACTACAGAAGGTACACCTTCGTGAGGTTCCTGCCTGAGGTTGATGAGCTGAGTTTTTTAGTCTAATTTCTGGAAGGATATAAGCTTTATTATTTTTTCTTTGCATTGATATATAATTATTATCATTATGAATATTATCATCCCTATTAACATTTTTACAGTATGCCAATTCGCTAGCAATTATTTGTCTTCGGAATTCTTTCGATGAGAGTTTATTATCTGTAAGAATATTGTATATTATGAATGAATTGATAATCGCCGCATCTATCAGCCAAAAAAATATTGGTAGTCACCATTTTCGCCACTTTCGCGAAATTTCATATAAAGACTTGAAATGGTCAACAGACCTATTGGACATTTTACGTCAAATACTTCCCCTTTTTTATTTTTTCTCTTCACAGTATCCACTGATCTCGAATCAATATAATTGGGCATTATAAATACGTCACGATTATCTCGCCATTTAATTATACTTATATTATTTTTGTCACTTCTCCAGTCAAACTCACCTCTTTTTAATTTTGTTTCCATATTCTTTATGGGCAAGTATCTCCTATTTTTGTTTAGTGTTCCGGTAGCATATATACCTTTCTTTTTTAAATCGATCAATTTCAATTTGATAAGGTGTATCCGATTCATAATCATCACTATCAATTTGGTAACGTGTATCCGATTCATAATCATCTTCGGAATCAGTGGATGAGTTGTCTAACGAAGAACCTTCAGATGGAATGTCCAGATAATCATCCATATATATAACAAGCTAAAATTATTGCGAAATGAGTTGGCAAAATTTATCAATTATTTAAAAAAATAAATATTAAAAATATTGTTGTTAAGTGGCAGTGGTTAGTTTAATATACCACATTAAAGAGATCAAAATAATATATAAATATTATTTATTTGAGCAAAAATAAATATTAGAAAGATAGATAAAATAGTGAGGAATATATACATTTAAAAATATTTGATAAATATACTTACTTATAATTAAAATTGGAATTTTAAGAAAAATCATCGTAAAAAACGTATTTTGAAATAAAGGCGCGAAAAAAAAAATTAAAAAATAACTCCTCCACAAACATATGAAAAAGAATATCTTTTAATATATATTCGTGGTGGTTTCATTTTATATGATTAACTCCTTTAGAAGATATAAAGGTTAAAAGGTGGTTTTATATTTGCACTACCGCGACCGAAAGGGTTAAATCACAATATTTTCTTTAAAAAAATTTATAATTTGTATGTAATTACATTTTTTTGCATTATTTTGAAAGAAAAATTTATAAATTTGTAAATTATAATTATATTTTTTTTAAATGTGGATTTTGTAAAATATATATTATTTACAAAATGCCCTTGAAGCAAACATCTTAATTTTAATTAGTTTTTTTTTAACATTTACCCAATTCTGTTGATAAAAAAATATTGCTTCAATAAAAAAAAGTGCTGAATATTTCGTAAAAAAAGACGTTATTAAATAAATATATTATTTTAATTAAATTAATAGAGTTGTATTCATTAGAGACCTGTAAAATCATTTTTTTCGGTCTGTGCCCTCTCGCGGCCCGATGGCCATTTTTTAAAGATCTAAGCTCAGTATGATCCTTGGTGACCATTTTTTTTAAAAAAGGAATAAAAATTAAATTAATATAGGGTTGTGCAGATTAGAGACCTGTAAAATCATTTTTTTTAATTTGCTTTTATAATTGTGATAAATCAATCAACCAAAAAAAGAAGAATAGGAAGGAAGTGTAGGCATTAATATGCTGTGAGCAGGGCCTAAATTTTATTGATGATGCTCAGGTCGATGTTGCAGAACTCTAGAATAGATTCAATAAAAAAAATATCGGATTGATATGATGGCGCCTCTTAAGCTAAACCCGAGCAATGTGAGAAAAAAATGTCAAGCATAATATAATATACACTAGTAATATGATATTTTATTCTTTATTGAAAAAAAAACTATAATTTCAAATACAATTTTGTAAATTGAGATATATTAAGTCTAAAAATAAATTTATTCAAATTTGATGAACATAAGGATGATCGATTTTTAAATTCAAAGTTAACTCATCGATGAGCCCTCTAACTAGGGGGGGGGGGGTGATAGTTGCATTCCAAATCAGAATTTTCAATTCTAAAGTGGCGGATGACGTTTTCCGATAATAAAATGGCATTCTTGTTCCAATTTATTTGTAGTAGAATCTTAATTTGTGTTTGTCATTGATGTTTAATTGCTAATTTTGTAAGAATAACTTAATTTTCTATATTCGTTTTATATAAATTTTAAGATACCTTATAATAATAAATTCACACAAAGTACAATTTTGCTATCAAATATTTTTATACAATCTTTAATTTTTTAAAATTGGGATGGGGGGGGGGGAGGTCTAATAAATAAGTAAACCCCTAGATAATTTCTGAAATAAAAAAGTAAATAATTAAAATACTTTTATTATAATATTACTTGCATAAAAAATATTAATGCTATTTTTCTTACATAATTGCCATTAATGAAATAACTTCTGAGTAGTGTTGTTAAATGGTTTGATCGGCTAACTCAATTTTTAGCCAGAAAAATATTATCTAAATCTCGATTTAGTTAATAGATGTTTATGCCACCTAGTAAAATCTTAAGGATTGCATAATTTTTCCTAATAAAATATTGAGTTAGCCGTTTTTAAAAATTGGCTCAAAATGAGCCGTTTAACAACACTACTTCCGAGCTATCATTATCATATATTAATACATACTATCTTACTTCTTAACAAAAAAAAAGAAATGTCAAATTTAAGGCAGCCTCTTTTTGTGATAAAATATATTCGATTTTTTCATTTAATTTTGAAAGGAATATTAATAGATCAATTAGATTAGCTTCTATATTCCAGGTACACTATGATTTTAATAAATAATGGTGCCTTCAAGTGGGTTCAAAGGTGGTCAGTCAATTACACCCAGGGGTTCGAACCGAACCGCAAAACCGGAATGAACCGTTATGATTTTCTGAACCGTAACCTTAACCGAACCGTTATGAAGAAAATATTAAAAGAGCGAACCGAACCGTTATAAATATTTTGAACCGGTTTAAACCGGTTCAAAACGGTTTTAAAAATAATTAATTTTAAATTATTAACCTAAATTTAAAATTTTAATTTTCCTTGGGGGCATTTTTTAAATTGGTGATTTCTTTTCAAATTAAATATTTCTATATTATCAACATTATATATCAAATTAAATATTTTTATATTATCAACATTATATATCAAATAATACCAGGTTTGTTGTTTTTTCTTTAAATACTTAATTTATAAGAGATTAGACAATTTATCTGTTAATTAAATAAGATATCTTAAAATCATTAGTGACATATTAAAAGCTTTATATCCAGCATATGTTTTGACAAAATATTTACAAAGTGAATAATTGACAATGGGCAATTTTTATGCTGCGTGGATCAAATGTCTCATGCAAACGAGTAAAGTAGACATTCCATTTGCCAGACTTTAGTTTCTACGATGAAAGCAAGAGAAATAAATTTCAAAAATGAAGTTTTTTGCTCTGCTATTTATCTCGACCCTAGAAATGTATTTTTAACTTTTGAAGAAAGAGAGATCGCCAGAAAACATTTTTGTAAAACTTGGAACTTGATACAAAATCTAAATAATCAGAATATTGAAATTCTAATACTATGCCTACGTGTTCGTATTCGAAGGATAATTTAGATGATGATTTTGAAGATTTATTAAAGTAGCATGAAAGTCTTAATAAGAATAATTCTCAGGGCATCGAAAATTATAATAAATGTATAGAAATAGAATATATAATTCGGTCATTTGATAATATAGAGAGATTAGAAAAAGATACTAATCTTTTGAATTATTGGGAAAATGTAAAGAATAGTATGCCAAAACTTTATAAGTTAGCTATAACTGTGCTAGCAGTTCCAGCTACGCAGGTCTCCGTAGAAAGAGCATTTTCAATCCTTAAGTTTATACTCTCTGAGTAGAGAACTAAATTAAATCCTGAAATATTAGAAAATATTTTAGTTATCCGTTCGAATTCTCTTTTTAAACCTAAATAGTATAGTATACATATTATTTTATTCATTATTGTATTTACGCATGTTTGTTTTTATCTTATTTAATTATGAAATAAAAAAAAACTAATTTGTCTAATTTATATTTCCTAAATTTAATAAAAATATCTATTAGATTATCATGGATAAATTAAATAAGAAATTATAAACTAAAAAGATTTTTCTCTAAAATTAATATATACATGGTTAATGATTAATTTTTTTTTAAATTAAATTTATAAAAACCGGAACAAACCGAAAAGAACCGTTATAAATTATAAACCGAACTGAACCGATATGATTTTTTTTAAAAAACCGAAATGGAACAAAACCTTTATAAAATTTTAAACTAAAAACCGGAATGAACCGAACCGTTATACTAAACGGTTTGAAACCCTGATTACACCAGTCAGAACAATATCAAGGATTTATTCAATATCAAACATTACCCATACCATTTTTTTTAAATAAAATAATCATAAGCTTATTTTAAGAAAATATAATATGATTTTTCCGCTTAATATTTTTTAATATTAATTTAAGTCCTAAATTTTGATTATTAATTTAAGCCATAAAAATGTCTTTCAATTTTAATGAAGCAATATTTTCTTGTATATTTATTCTTGTAAAGTTAATTCTGGAATATGATTTTAAAAGTAAAAAAATAAATTTAGGAACAGAATTATCATGCATTCTTATTTCTTAAATATTTATCGTTCATTTTTTTATATAAACTCATAGCTTAATGTAGGGCTGCATTTAAAAAAGATATGGAGTTAATCATTATTTTAAATAATTGGCAACTGACTGGTATCAGTTAAATTAGAATTGAAAGTATAAGCTGATATCGATCAAATCTAATAAATATCAGCTGATACCAAACTAGTAGTGCATCTCTGATATACTAGTGATGTGCATCATGCCTAATTTTTGAAGTCCAGCCTAAATATTTTTAAAAAAAATTTGTTCTGCATTTTTTTTTAATTGTCCTCAGGACCCATAATAAAAATTTATCCACACACCCAGCACAAATTTTTTTAAATATTATAAACCAAAAATTATCTTTAAGAATAGACCTGTGATTATCTTTAGTGGACACATATTATTCAACTAATAAAAAATTAATAATTAAAAACATTCATATATAATGTAAAATGTTTTTGTTGTAATTGCATACCAATGGCATTCCAATTAATTGACAGAGAACTGATATTATCATTGATATAGGCCTTTTAATTATTTGTTCAAAAGCTGGTGTATCCATTTTACATCCATATAAGAATGTGTTTAATATCACAAATCCTATAACCAGAAGTCGAAATATTTTGGATAAAACATTTAATCTCCTGTATACAATTATATTTAAATATGGCTGACATTTCACATTTTGATTATTAATATTTATATTAATTTTTGCATAGATTTGAGTTCTGCCTAAAAACAAGCCTTTAATTTTTAGACTTGTATTTTTCTTTGATGTAATAGATTTTTTAAATGTAGCTATATCTTCATTTTGATTATAAAATTTAATACTGTAATTTAATAAATTATAATAAGGTGAAATAATAATTATTGAGCTATCGTTTCCTTGACTATAATACAAATCGACAAATTTCATCTCACCTTCATGTATCTTGAGTGTTTGAGGTAGAAAATAACATAAATTAAGGCTTAATGATGGCTTATGCCCTATCATCCACACAATTAATATTAATAAGATAGACCACATCAAAACCCATATGAAATAGGATAAATGAAAAATTAATTTAGAAGATATTAAAATGTAGGTAGGCTATAGGACATCACCGCCTTGATTACGGTAATTTTATAATTGTAATCTTTCTACATATTTTACAATTAATATTATCAATTTTACCACAAATTATTAAAATATTATAAATGTAAATGCATCATTTTTTATAATATAAATTAATTAAAAACCATTCTAAACATTCACGATAAATTTATTATTATGGTGTATTATTTGGCATGAATTTAGGTTTGCTGATGGGATATCTACCCTCTTTAAATTAAATTATATTTAAAAATATAGTAAAAAAATTAGCCATAAGAAAGTTCTGTTTGTATTTATTCAAATACTTTGATTGTATTGCATAGACGTAGGCGGGGGGGGGGGGGCAAGGGGAAATTCCCCCCCCCTTCAGAAATTTATCACTTTTTGTGAATATCCTTTAAAGCTAATAAAAAATATCCCCCTTAGTCCTTCCCCCACTCACTGACCCACAAAAATGTATGCATATATTTTAAACAATAATTTGAAAGAAAGATTGTAAAAGTTAATATTTTTTTATAAAACTATTCATCATAATTTATAGATTTTTGGAAAAAAGCATTTATATATAAAAAAAGTAAACCAAAAATGCTTTTTAATAAATAGAATCTAAGTCAAAGATAAGTCTTAAGCTAAAAGTGAAATGTATTATAATTATTAATAATAGATCCATAAAATTACTAAATAATATAATATATCAAATATAATTTTTTATAAAGTGAGTAATTTTAATTTATTTATCTTAATGAAAGTAAAATATAATTATAAAACTATTGATAAAATTAAAACATAAATTAAATAAAAAAAATTAAAGGACAATACAAACAGTGGAATATTTTATGTCGTAGATTTACAATATATCTAATTTTATCAATTATCTTATGACAATCAAGTAATTTTTACCAATATAGCTATTGCTGTTGTGACCGCTGCTTACTTAATTTACTCTTATTTATTTAACGGATCTCCTTTCAAAACAAAATTTGACTAATTTCAATTTATTCAATGCAGAATAAATACAAATATTTTAATTCACAATAATAAAAAAAATATTAATTAAAAAAAATGAATTCAAAAAAAATGAAGTGATAATTTACAATTTCGCTTCCCTTTTATAGGGAAGCAATAATCATCACAAATAAATAATTTAAATTTAACAATCTAAAAATATCTTCTTTTACAATTATAAAGCACCTAATCATGCCTCAAATTAAAATTATAAGATAAAAAAACATTTTTTGAAATTATAAATTATCCCATCATCATAATAACTTTTATAAATCTAAAAATAAAATGTTAACGCGATTAAGCTAAAACATAATATTATAAAATTAACAGTGACTCACCAATTTAACTAAAACATAAAATTATAATAATAAAAATGACTCATCAAACGCAATACATACTGACTTTACCAAAAATCAAATTTTACAAATCAAAGTCTCTCAATTATGACAATAGCGAATTATATATTTAACAGAAAATTATATAATATTGATAAGGACATCAGAAAATATCTTTTAAAGACATTGTGGGATAAATAATTTGCAGATTAATTTTTAATATCATCATTTTTTATTTAAAATAAATAGATAGCGTTAAATAATTGAATGCAAATTGTTGCTATATTTACTATCATGATGCATTTATTAATTCTGTGTAATAGAGGAATATCAACTATACTACTTACTTTTTATAAATAAATTTCTTATACATGTTTGGAATAAATTATTAATGCTTTTATATTAATGTATATACAAGTAATTTATTATATTTTATATAAACTAATAAATATATATTTCATATTTGTTCCAGGCTTATTTTTTTTATTAAAATTAACCTCCTATCTTATAAAAATATTCTATGACTATATATAGACTAAGGTAACCCAGCCGAAGGCCTGCCCAAAATAAGGTCTGGGGGCGAAGCCCCCAATAATTTTTTAATCCCCCCCCCTTAGGAAAAACCTGGCTACGCCTATGTTGTATTGTATGCAATACACAGATTTGGTCTATGTTTAATGTAATGTATATTAAATAAATCTATAATAAAGATTCTGAAAAAATATTTATATCAATATATCTTACAATATTTTACCTAAAAAATTATTCCTAACCCCCAATAATAAGTCTACTCCCCTTAGATAACTACCCCCTTCCCTATTTTAAAAAATTGGGAGAGAAAGCTGCTCCTACACCCCCCCCCCCCACACCCCTCTTAAATTGACTCTGACCATAAGTAACATAAGTATAAAGTGCGTAAATTTATAAATAATTGGTCATTAATATATTTAAAAGAGAACGCTAAGGAATTATAAATATTTTTTTCGCTTCTTTTAAGAATTATACAAAAATAATTTATAAAGGTTCGTTCTTTCTTTCTCTCCTATGCTTAAATTAAAAGATTTAAAATTCCTTATACGCCATTATAGGATTACAGACTTTATATAATCTAGTATAAATTAGGTTAAAGAACTAGAAAGAAATTGTTTATTCTCTTTTGACTCTTATTCCTCTACGATATTCAAAAAAATTAAAATTAATATAGATTGTTTCTAAGTGTTTCTGTATGCTAATTGCATTATTAATGTATAATATTGCTTTTTTTTATCCATCAGGTTATTAAATCCGGTAATTAAAATGGTGCAGATCGTATAGTAGTCACAAACTATATGTTCTCAGGCAGTCTTCAAAAGATATACATTATTTTTTGTTTGATCTTATCTTAGAAGATAAAACCGAGACCTAAAAAGTGACGACAAAAAACGAGAGAGGCCGAAATTATATTGACGTAAATAAGAGAGAGGAAGAAGAGAACATCTTCTTAGCAATTTAGCAAGTGTTCAAAAATATATTCTAATCTGAAAAAAATCCCCCCATCTACCACCCTCTTCCCCAGGGTCTACATGAGCGGGAAGGGTAGGAACAGTTTGCATCCTATTTTTTTGAGGGGGTAGGGGGTAAGCTGCTCTAATGGGGGTGGGATAAATTATTTGGGGGGTTATCTATTAAATTTTAAGATGAAATAGGACAAAATTTATTGCTGTAAAAATTAATACTTTTATTATAGTATTATTATAATACAATTCATCAACCAAATCTATATATTGCAAACAATCATACACATTGTTTTCCAAATAAACTATCCTTTTAAACGTAATTTAAAAGGTTTAGATATTTTAGCAAGCTCATAATGCCCTAATAATTAATTCATTGTAAATAATGGAGGTTTTAATTGAATTTATTATCTAAAAAATAAATTCTCATTCACAAAATATCGATAGTTGATAGTAGAGATAAATTAATTTAAGTTATCCTTTATAAATTCTTTGAAAAGAGTATCAATAAATAAATAGGTTAAAATAATGATAAAGAGACAGGCGACGATTTTTTTAGGGGGGTAGGCAAAGGTTTTTGAAGGGGGTTTGCATCCAGTGAAAATCCTGTCATGTAGACGCTGCTCTTCCCAAATATGTTCATAAAATATCATTATAAATATTATTTTTTTCTAAATAAATAAATGTACCATTTTTAAATAATGCCTTTAATATAAATTTTTGTGAATAAGAGTTTAATAAAGTATAACTATAATCAGAAAATTAGTATTTTAAATATAATCTAGTCAAAAGTCTTCAACTAGAGAGTCTGCATATATACATTAACATTTGCGGTAAATGGTTACCAAGTACCCCACCCCCCTTTCCAAGGCCTCCTGGATAGAATTTTATACATATTTAGTTGTGTGCCACTTATAATTTTGACCGGTGAATGGGTTTCATTTTAAAAAAATATATTAAAACAAACGAACCAACATAAAGATTTTCATCTATTTGTTATTTATTTATTGAAAATAAAAAAATATTTTATCAGCTCATGGGTGACAGTTTATGCATTTTTTAATAATATTTTAAGCTGGAAAAATATTATGAATGGTCTTTAAAAGTTAAGTTTTTTTCTTTGGGAGATATTTAGATTAAATTTATGTTTACTGAAGGCCAGTTACACCAGTTCTGTTTTTAGTAGGAATGTAGAAACTATAGTACCTGAAAATATGAAAGTAATTTAGTGTTCCCCAAAAAATGTTTAGGAGAGCATCGCTAATTAAATGAAATAATATTATTACATTTTTATCATGAGATAAAAATCAAATAGCACATTACATAGAAAACAAAACTAATAAGATGAACATATAAATATTATTTTATTGAATAAAAATTTATAAAATCAAAATTTATAAGATTAAAATTTTAAATCCCAAATTTGGTTTATTTTACCTCTCTCTTCTCTGTTTCTAATGTAATACTATGCCTTCATCGAAAAATCCAAAAATAAAAGCTGTTATTGCAGGGACGTAACTAGACTTAAGGCTGTATAGGGTAACCCTAAACATTGTCTAATATAAAAACTAAAATTTATTAACCATTCACCATAATAAAAATTAATATGGAAATTATATTTATAATTAATTTTAGGGCAAAAATAAAATTTTATTCAAAAAATATAACTATTGCTGTAAAGTAACCGTCGTTTATGGCATTACCTTCTTGAGGAAAAGTAATGACGTTCTTTACTTGTTTCAAAATATAACGAGTAATGCGATAATTTTTTTTTAGTAATGGTAACGTTTCTGTTACCTTAAATATTTTCTTAAAAAATGAAAAGATATTTTTATTTATTATATATTGTATTATATTTTTTAATTTTATAAATAATTCAACAGTTTTAAATTCAGATCAACCACTAAAGTTTTTCATTTTTATTTGATTTATTGGAATTTTTATTATTAAATTTTATACAGTCATGATTGTTAAACAAATTAATATTGAATCAATCAAGTTATGTTTATTTATATTCCCCAATATTATGATTTATTTTATAAAGAATATATGTCAATATAAGTCATTAAAAGTAATTGCAAACTTTATAGTTTAAATAAATAAAATTTTTAATTAATGAATTTTAGG